AAACATGTATTGTAGCGCTTTTTTTGTTCAATGCTTCTTGAGAATTAAAAGACAAACACTTGTTAAGCACAGGGAGATGAAATTTCGAAAAGTTTTTCACAAACTTAAGGCACACCCTGTGTGGGCTATGGAAGGTTTTTCAAGGGACACTATCAATCCTATCACCCAGGAAAGCAGAACAGGATAAGCCAAAGAAAAGGTTCATAGGAAAGATTTAGAAATGGTTTCACATTACAAGCTTGCCAAAAAACCTAGATACAAAGCCAGTAATTTACCTTCAAGAGGATAAGAAATGGGAAACCGGATTCATTTATACGGAGTTTTAGCCCTGGACTAGTATGTTGACATTTCCTGGATCTCTTCCAGGAGTAGATGAGAACATTTTGGATAGGTTGCAGTTTTCTCTAATACTCAGCGTTTAATATGCTTATTATCAAATGAATTTTATGTGATAAACTCTTCAGAGAAGGAATCACATGGATTTATAGTCTTTAAGCTGTGTATAAATTAAGCACACTCTGAAAGTTATGATGGCGCTATGAAGTAGAAAGGTTATCAAAACACGGAATTTATCCAGGTCAAGTAAGACTACCACCATTTTGAAATTCTGAAGACTGCAGCGTCATGCTTTTCCGTATGCCTGAATGATTACACCTTTGTCAAGCCACTCTGTCTTTGGCTTGAGAATGAACCTGTCAGTTGGAATTTATCTTAAAATTTTAACCAGGACTTCAGGTTTAAGTACAGAAAATGAACAATGTCTCATTCTGCTACCACAAATTAAAACTATTTTAGGAGAAGACACCTTTTCAATGAGATTCTCTAATAGGTGAAATCAATAGTTCTCACCAACAACTCTTTTGGAGGGGAGGAGGGGGAGACCCTTCTGAATAAACAAAGTGTGTGCGGGGAGAGTCATTTGACTACATGTCCAGGAACTACCTTTCACCAGAAGTAATGTGGCTTCCAACCCAGGCCTGGGCTATCCACTCTCTAACAGGGCTATTATGGACCCGCACGAAACTGAGGCCCCTCCCAGCAGCCTGGAGCCAAAGGAAGATTTCTATTTCACCTCACCCACCCGGCTTCTGGTTTGCTTGTTTGCTTTTCATGCCTATGCATGTAAATGTATAAGAAAACAAATGAAAAGAAGTAAAGCCTTGATTAGCCTGCCTTCTTAATCCAAGCCAAGCAGAAACAGAACTAATCAATATTTAGTACTTCGGACATATTGGCCCTCAGAAGGTAAACAATAGCAATAAAACAGAAAAGAATCCTATTCATCTTTATTTTTATCATCACCATCATTATTATTTGCCTCTGGTTGATTATGGCTTTTCTTTAGGGGTTTCCAAAGAGCTCAATCTGAGAACTAATTATAATTGCTCTGTGCCCCGCCCCGCTCCCAGAGCCCAACTAAAATCCAGCAGCTAATTCAAAAAAAAGGAAGATTAACGTGGTTTTCCGCAACCTGTTCTCAAGATTTTATCTCACACACAGGCTAAGTTAAAATACTCTTTCATTTCAGGGGCCAATGTACAATTTTAAACTATTTTTAAAGGAAAAATAACTTGTAGAGGAGGACGTTAACTTTTTTCCTTTCTTTTTTGTGGTACCTAGAATTTACATGCAACTCTTTGCTTAAGGTTTAAGGCTGTTTATTTTCATTACACTCATCACACATACTTGGCCCACTTATATCAATGGGAGATGCATATGTGAAATACAGTTAAAGCGAGAACATAGTCCTGTACATCGGTATAATCGATACGCTAAATTATTGTCACAAAATTGATAGAAAAATGTAATTTTCAGGCAATCATTTTTCAAGTCTGTTAACTTGCTGAACTGGGATTCACCATGAAATTTACTGCTCCGGTCTCATCTACTCAAGTAAGCACTATCTTTTTTCATTTTCAGAAGTAAGCTCTGGCTTGGGCTTGCTACCTCCTTCCAGGTAACTTCAGGACCCTGGGTTTGCTCCCACCTGCGGGTGTATCATATCCCAGGCGCGCGCACCCGGAGTGCCCCCACTACCCCTCCCAGGGCAGACATGGCACCCTCGAGAGAACACAACCCAAACGCTAAAACTTTCCGGCCGCAAACTCTACTGCTCTCGCCCGCGATCAAAAGCGACCGGGCACCGGCTTTTTGTTCCAGCGCTGCTCAGCTGGCGAGGTAACGCCACAACAGTCCTCCATCCCCAAAGGTCGGGAGAGAGGCCGTGGGACTGAGATTTTTGGAGCCTCCCGAAAAGCCCATTCCTACGCAATCCGAGCGTGTGCGGCGTACAAACACAGGAAAAGAGGGCGTGGAGCAGGCAACGACGATATTCTCAGCGCCTTTCAAATACTACTTGTCTCAGGTTCACGAAGTGAGTCTCCCCATCGGTGGCAGAGCGCTAAGGTGGGGGGCGGGGAATACGAGACGGCGCAGACCCGGAGAGAAATAGGTACCAGCAGGGCATGCGAAATACAGTCAAGACGCAGGTCCGACCCCGCCTCCGGGTACAATCAGAAAAGCTACAGTGTGTCAGTGTTTTTCGGCTTCCTGTTTGTAAAGCGAGAACCTCCCTCCCTGACTCTATGACCGTCGTTCTCCCTCCCCACCGAGTCCGCCTCTTCTTCGCGCTCCGGGCTAACTCGGCGGCAGGGGGCGG